CACGCAGATTTGTGCCGGTTCCCTCCCGCGAAGAGCATCTTCCTCACCACCGCCGTGGTCGAGGGCACGGCTTTCGTCAGCGCGGGGACGCGAGAAAAGGGAGCGCAAGGTACCGCGGCACCGAGGGCCATCGGCACCTGGGAAGGGATGCGCCGACGGGGGGGGAGAGGGCAGGAGCAGCCCTGAGGGATACGTTTGCTGGACCCTTTTTAAAAGGCTTTATTTTTCAAAATATACAGTTTATTTACAATTGTAGTGTCTACAGTTTTACACAGAACTTTATTCCGAACCTTTAAATATCTGCAGTAAACATTAGGAAAAAAAAAATAAAATCACAGGATCAGCAAAAAAAAAGGCATCTCGTAGCAATTCTGTTCATTGGAGTTTGAGTTTCAAGTAGCCAATGTCTACAAAAAACATATACTTGATAAATCTGGCAGAGAGATACGGGTGCACCGGTTAGAAAAAGGCAAAATCCAGACCTGCAGGATCGCCACCCCAAGGGCTGCAGGCCAGGAAAACCCCGTGCTGGGAATCGGGCCAGGAGAAGGACCCGGGATACAGAAGGCCCTTGGCACGAGTTAGGCAATGGGGTTAACCACAGTGTCTTGGGCGCCCTGGGGAGGGGCACCCAGGAGGGCCGGGGGCTCGGGGGGCTCCGGTGAGGTGCCAGGGCGGAGGAGGGAGGACGGCATCAGGCACTTCATGCAGGCCAGGAAAACCCCGTGCTGGGAATCGGGCCAGGAGAAGGACCCGGGATACAGAAGGCCCTTGGCACGAGTTAGGCAATGGGGTTAACCACAGTGTCTTGGGCGCCCTGGGGAGGGGCACCCAGGAGGGCCGGGGGCTCGGGGGGCTCCGGTGAGGTGCCAGGGCGGAGGAGGGAGGACGGCATCAGGCACTTCATCTCTCGGGCAGCAGACCTGCCCACGCATCCGTGGCCTGGAGCGAGAGGGTGGCGAGGAAGGAGCAGGAGCCCCGCAACCTCCTCCTCCCCTTTCCCCACATCCTCGCCCCGCTGTCCCCCTTGGTAGTGCCGCAGCCGGACCACACGCACCACGGGGATGCTCTGGTGTGGGGCCACCGCTGTGGCACAGCCCTCAGGAAGGAGCCAGGAGGAGCCCAGCCCCAGCCTGGAAGGGACGGAGCTGGCAGCCAGGCACCGTGCCGGGGCCATCAGTCCTCTTTCTCGAAGGTCTCCTCAGGGATGAGCGTCTGGAAGGGGTAATCCCAGAAGCGGGTGCTGATGCCGAAACCTGCAGGCAGGGGAGAGAGTGCTTAGCCTGTGGCACCGCCGTCACCAGGACACTGCTGGCGACAGGGCGCAGCTCGTTCAA